TTCTAAACTCAACCAACCTGTAACAAATCCGCCCAACACATGTATGAAGTGTTTTGATTTGAGCTTGAGTCTCATTTGTTTGTTGGCATAGGAAGAAGATGAATATGATGTTTATAATGCACTGCTGTAAGTTTGGCCAGGTTCTGAGCCATATTGATAATGTTGGAAAGTGGAACGTGTCATTGACATTAGAGTTATGAGACTGTAAAATGTTGAAATTGATTATCTTGGTTAACCATCTATTGAATGCTATTGCTTTATTCAATGCTTATATTTGGTTTAGTATATTTCTACTGGACTGTGGCTCACCCTTTATGGGAACATCATTTTCAGGTCCAGGTGATAAGCTACCTCCCAGGACTTAGCTTGGAAGGATTTGGATTGTGAAGACTATCTTTAAATGTTTGTTTTCATTTGATAAATAATCAAGCCAAGGGCTTTATTTGTATTTGAGTTAGAACTCATATTTTGTATCCAAGTGTTGGCTTGGAAAGATGTAAGCCTGTAGGGCATTTTATTCGATGTTACATGTAATGCTTTTATTTAGTAATACTCTGATGAATGAATTAATAAATTGTTTTCTTTAAATAATGCATGTCAATTGTATATATATATATAATGGGTCTATTTTGAGGGCGTGACATCTTTCTTCTTTATTATGTTCTGAGGCTTTACATGTGGAATGTGTCTTCAGTAGTCTCTTCTTTCTCAAATCTTACAGTAGCATATGCAGCCATGACCGATCAAAATGCTTTTAAATCTCATTCCTTTGGTTTTCGAGGAAATCGAGCCTCTTATTCACGAGGAGGTGGTCACAGAGGTGGTAGATCTTTTTGTGGTTCTCATAATAGAAGAGGTGGTCATAGAGGTGGAAATGGCAACCAACATTTTTCTCAGCAATTAATTCAACCCTCCTATCATTCACCTTCATCTTTAGTTTGTCAAATTTATGGCAAGCCTAATCATACTGCCCTTACCTGTTGGTATAGATTGGACACTTCCTTTCAGCCTTCATCTTCTTCCTCTAAACCTACTTTTGTTGCTTCTTCTACCTCCAATTCCTCATCTCTATCAGCACATTGGTATGTGGATTCTGCTACATCATCATATGTGGCTTCTGATTTGAACACTTGCCAACAATATCAGCCTTACTATGGTCGAGATCATGTCACCAATGGCAATGGTTAATCCCTTCCAATCCAACACACAAGTCAAGGTATTCTTCCTACTCCTTCATTTCCCTTCAAACTAACTAATATTCTTCATGTTCCCTCTATTACTTCTAATCTCTTGTTTGTCCATCAGTTAACTTCTGATAATAATTGCACTATCACATTTGATAATCAATCTTTTGTGATTCAGGACAAGATCACCAAGAAACCTCTATATAGAGGTGCTCATCGTCATGGTCTCTATCAGTTGCCTTCCAGTTTTCCATTATCTCCACAACTTGCTTCATCTGTTTCTCCTACTTTTGTTGCTACACATTCTGTCTCTTCTGATACATGGCATAGCAGACTTGGCCATCCTTCATCTCAAAGATGCAAGTCTTGCTGAAGAAATTTAGTTTACCTGTTTCTTTTACTTGTAATAAAACTCAAATGTGTACTAATTGTGCTGTGGCCAAGTGTCATTGTTTACCTTTCCATTTGTCTAATAATACTGTTAATAAACTATTGTCCTTCATCCACAGTGATGTTTGGGGTCCTTTCTCTTCTTATACCTCTCGTATTAAGTACTATGTTCTTTTTATCAATGATTTTAGCAAGTTCACCTGGATTTATCCTTTTCTTTACTTTACAAAAGTGAAGTTTTCTCGAAATTTCAAGAATTTACGGTGCTTGTTGAAAATCAATTTGATACTTGGCTTAAAATTTTTCGCACCGATGGTAGTGGTGAATTTACCAGTACTCATTTTGAATTGTTTCTTAAAAACCATGGTATTTTCCATCAACTTTCTTGTCCACATACTCCTCAAAATGGAGTTACAGAAAGAAAGCACAGACATCTCATTAGCACCACCATTGCTCTTCTTCATCAATCAGGTCTTTCACTGTCCCATTGGTTTGATGCTTTGGCCACATCTGTTTTTCTTATCAATTGTTTACCTAGTTCCAAATTGCATAATAAAACTCCTTTTGAAATATTGTTTCATCAAGCACCAGATTTTGGTTTTCTCAAAAGCTTTGGATGCCGGTGTTTTCCTTGGATTAAACCCTATAATTCTCACAAATTGCAATCTCTTTCCTTGCCTTGTATCTCTATTGGTTATCATCCTTCCATAAAAGGCTATAGATGTCTCGATCCTCTTACAGGTCACATTTATGTGTCAAGACATGTTGTGTTTGATGAATCTCTATTTCCTTGGTCATTTTTGATACACCATCTCCTTCCTCTGGGTCTGTTCCTTTTTTTTGCTCATCTTTATTCTTTCTTTTGGTCTACTCAGCCATCTACTCCTATGAGTCAGTCTCCTATCTCTGCTTCTCTGTCTTCGACATCTCTGCCTCCATCAGGTTCTGCTGCTCTAGTTTCCTCTACTGTTGCACCTACTCCGTGTTCTACTGCTGCACCTGTTCTATGTCCTCCTGCTATCACAATTCCCTCTACTGCTGCACCTGTTTTGTGTCCTACTGATGTCCCTCCAACTATGGTTTCTACCAATCCTGTTTTAGCTACTCCATCATCTTCTACTATTCCTATTGGCTCTCTTATTGTTGATCTCAGTTCTTATTCCGGTTCAGCTCCTCCTTCAACTCCTCTTCCTTCTCCTTATCTAGCTCCACCTCCTACTCAAGCTCCTCTTAACTCTCATCCCATGGTTACTAGGTCCGAGGCTTCTCATTTCTCTTTTTTTACTTTTGCCTCTCTTTCTCTTGATCTTTCTCTTGTTGAACCTCAATCTCATCATGAAGCTCTTCAAAACCTAACCTAGACTCAAGCCATGAATGAAGAATTTCAGGCTTTGCAAAGGTAGAAAACTTGGACTTTGGTTCCTCTTCCCCTTCATAAGCACTCTATTGGTTGTAAATGGGTTTTCCGTCTTAAGAAAAACTCTGATGGCACTATTGCTAGACATAAAGGTCGCCTGATTGCTAAGGGTTATTTGCAAGAGGAAGGAATTGATTATCATGAAACCTTTAGTCCTGTTGCCAAACAACCTACCATTCGAGTGTTTCTCAGTCTTGCTCTCTATTTCAATTGGTCCATTAACCAGTTAGATATTTCTAATGCCTTTTTGCATGGTGTGCTTGATGAAGAGGTTTGTATGGTTCAACCTCCACGGTTTGAAGACTCTAATTTCTCTTGTCATGTGTGCAAATTAAGTAAAACCTTGTATGGTCTTAAACAAGCTTCCCGAGCTTGGTATTCCATTTTCTCTTCTTTCCTTCTCTCTTCTGGTTTTTTTCACAATAAATGTGACTCCTCTCTCTTTATTCATCATACTCCTCAGTCAGTCATTTTGTTATTGGTTTATGTGGATGACATCCTGATTGCTGGCAATGACTCTCGGCAAATTGCTACTTTGATCAAGCACATGCATTCAGCATTTTCTATGAAGGAATTGGGTCATATTTCTTACTTTATTGGCATCTCTGTTCACTCCACTGTTGATGCCTTCTTTTTATCTCATCACAAGTATGTAACTGAGATTCTTGTCAAGGCTGGTATAACTAATTGCGAGTTCTATTCTTCTCCCATGGCCACCAAATCTTATCCTTCTCATGACACTCTAGTTCCTTTCTCTCAACCCAATCTTTACAGAAGTGTTGTTGGAGCTTTACAGTATCTCACCATTACTCGGCTGTATCTCACCATTACTCGGCTTGAGCGCTCCTTTGCTGTGAATCATGCATGTCAATTCATGCATGCCCCAATAGTGGCTCATTTCAATGCTGTCAAGCACCTTTTATGTTATCTCCAAGGCACTTTGCATTATGGTTTGCAATTTAGAACAAGCCCTTTGGATCTTTCGATTTTGATTGGGCTGGTAGTGTTCTAGATCATAAATCTACTACTGGATATTGTGTGTTTCTCGGTGATAATATTGTTTCTTGGACTGCCAAAAAGCAATGCATAGTCTCACGTTCCTCCACTGAGGCAGAGTATCGCGCTCTTGCTTAAGCTGCGGTAGGGCTAGCCTAGCTTCGTATGCTTCTGCATGAGTTGTATATTCCTTCTTCCACTCCTACTCTTTGGTGTGATAACCTTTCTGCCATCTCCTTAGCCTCTAATCCAGTATTCCATCCAAGGTCCAAGCATATTGCTATGGATTACCATTACATATGTGAGCAAGTTGTTGCTAAGCAAGTGGTTGTCAAGCATGTCTCTTCTGTTGATCAAATTGCTGATATTTTTACTAAACCCTTGTCCACTGATCGGTTTACTACTTTAAAAGCCAAGCTCATGGTTCGTCCCTCTCCGCTTCGCTTGAGGGGGCCTGATAAGATTACTAAGTCATCAACAGTTGCATAAGTGAGTCATCATTAGTTGCATAAGATCAAGAGGCATAACAGAGCTTATGCAACTGAGTACACAGCATATCAAAGCTTCTATTAGTTAATATAACCGTATTTGTAATATCAATTAAGTTTGTTATCATCTATTAGATATAGAATAGATATAGTTGGTTAGGTTCTACTGATGTATAAATATAGATGTGGTGTAACAGATTCATTCATTTGAATAATATTTGAGAGATTCATATCTTCTTCTCCCTCAAAAATTAAATCCAAATGTGTAAGTGACTACCCTTTTGTGTAATTTCTATTTTAATGGGACATTTGGGTTCATAAGAAAAAAAAGAGAGGACTAAACAATTCATAAGATCATATTTTGAAATTTATTGGTGCTTCACCCTTCAAATAATAGATACAAATTAAAACTATATGTACGCAACATACATATAATTTAGAATACGTTACACTCAACTCCTTTGAAATTTGGAAATAAATATGGTCTATATGATAGTTTTGTTATAATTACACTGATCTCTCTTTAGTGAGGTCAAATAAACTAGGAGTAATATGCAGATAGTATGAAGACAAATGAACAAAGTAAACTAAATATTTTAGTATAAAAGTAATAACAATATTATTTTTCTGTTCATGTGACTAACAAATTTCTAATAAAAAAAATATCAAGTATTATGTGAATTAAAATTTTAAGAGAAGTTAATATGGTGATGCCAAAAATATATGACTTACTATATTTTGTTAAAATTTAAGTGGAGATATTATTGTGACTTACCCTATAATTTAAATATCTATCACTACAATTTGTTTGTTTCAGCGGAAAATATTTTCTCACTGTTGTTGCACTCTTGAAACTAATGTACTAATGGTTGCATTAGTGGTGGTGAAAGTGGCAACGATATGTGGAGGTAGTGATGAGGTTGAGGTGGTGTTGTGGCTGTGGGGTGATGAAGGTGGTGGCGGAGACAGTGGTGATAATGGTCATGGTCGTGGTCATGATTGTGAGGTGGTGGTAGTGGTCAGGGCCGACTCTAGGGGCAAACCGGCAAAGCTGCTGCTTTGGGGCCCCCAGATTAATTTGATCTAAAACATATAGGACTCCATGTAGGAAAAATTCTTATAATATTGAGCAAATTTTTATTTTTTTTGGGTTAAGACCTCAATTAAATGAAAGGGCTCAATTATTTTGATTGTTAACTTATTAAACTCACTTTAACTCTAAGCTTTTAACCCCAAACTCAAAAACAAACTGTTTTTATATATGGAGGATTCCGATTACTTTGATTTTAACTTATCACAACCCAACTACATCTAGTGCTTAATGCCAAACAAAAGAACAACACTATTTTTATTACTGGAGAGTTCTAACTAATTGATTTTACTTTACCAAATTTCTTTCCAACTCAATTTAAAATTTTGATATTAAACTTCTTTGGTATTAATATTCTCTCTAGATGACTTTAGATTTTATATCATTTCAAGTTCTACTTCAATTGTTTGTTAACTTTACTTTAAAAATTGAAACCTCTAGATTTGAATTAACTGTTGCTTACTAAATTATGGAGTGGATTATTTATTTAATCATACTTCTTAAAAAGTATAGATGAATTAATTGAATCTCAGCCAAGAGCTCTTGGTTCAATTTTACAACTAGAAATGCATGAATAGTAATGTTTAAGTGATACGGTGTTCAATTTTCTTTGATGTTATTACTCTAGATTTTTGTGCACTATTTTTTTCTTATGTAAATGGTTAAAATATAAAACAATAATACTGGTTTTTATCTATTTAAAATTTTCTAATAACAACTTTAAATTGATTTTATCTTTTAAGTGATGTGAAAAACTATAGAGCTCCAAATTAACAATTTGCTTTGGGTCTTTGAATATTCAGGCCAGCCCAGAGGGGTGGTATTGATAAAATATTTAGTTTGAAAAACGTTTGCAAGCTTTAAAGTAGAAAATATTTTTCTCCAAAATAAATTTATTTTCTACTGATCATAAAAAAATGTTTTTTTATTAACTTTTATTTTTGATTATATCACACATCAAAAAATACAAGAAGATATCTTTTAAAAATATTTCCACCCAAATGATCGGAGCTCTACGCTGTTGCTAGTGGTCATACGTGGATAACATAGAACAAAAAATTCTAACGCACATAAAGAGAACATATATCATTTGATTTTGAATAAATAAAAATAAAAACTACTTTTTAACCAAAAAAAAAAAAAACTTGGTGAAAGCTTCTTTCTCAGTGACTTCAGTTGATATAGTGTCAAACCGAAGAAGGGGAAAAAAAATATTACAGTCAAACCTCTGCCTTCAATTTGATTTTTGAAATAAAAAAAATGAAAGCAAAAGTTGATAGAGATTATGACCAGAAGAAAACTCAATTTATAATGGACAATGAGCGTATTAAACATTAAAAGCAGGGAAGTACGAAGGGAGGGAAAAAGGCAAAGAAAAAGAGAGAGAGAAGGAAAAGAAAAAGAGAGAGAGAAGGAAGGAAGAGAAAGAGAAGGCCATGGAATGGGTTCTCTAACAGGGTGTAATCTAATTACCCATTTTGTCTATTTTGTTAAATATTAAGTTTCGTTTGGCAACCTCTACAATTTATTTTTTAAATTTATATAAAAAATACTAAATATGTTTATGTTTATTTTGAATTAAAACAAGAACAAAAACGGAAATGCTCCAGTGTACAATGCACACCGTATGCAACTCTACTCAAAATTGCATAAGTTTTCACAATCTCACGAAAATACATAAATTCGCTTAAGTTCGTGAAAACTTACGTGATTATATGAATTTGTGTTCAACTTATGTATTTTTGTGAGATCACTTATGTAATTTCGTGAAAACTTACGTGATTATATGAATTTGTGTTCAACTTATGTATTTTTGTGAGATCACTTATGTAATTTCGTGAAAACTTACGTGATTATATGAATTTGTGTTCAACTTATGTATTTTTGTGAGATCACTTATGTAATTTCGTGAAAACTTACGTGATTATATGAATTTGTGTTCAACTTATTTTTATGAGATCACTTATGTAAATTCGTAAAAACTTACGTAATTTTGTATAGAGTTCCATATGGTGTGCATTGCATACTGAAGAATTTTTCAAGCAAAAAATATATTTGGCATACAAGTTTTTAAAAAAATTATTTTGAAAACAAGTTTAAAAAGTTAGTTACCGACGGTTAGAGAGAGTGGTTGGATATGGTTAGCAGTGGTCAGAGGTGGTTGCTTGCCACATGATGACCCAAAGTAATAGTCGATGGTCAGATATGGTGGCTAGTCAACTGCCTAAGATAATTTTCAACAAGAGATGGTGATCAAAGGTGGTTATTACCGATGAAAGGTGGTTGGTAGTGGTGATAGGTGGATGGCGAAGGTAGTTAATGATAATAGTAGACAGTAGTGATAAGTAATGGGTGGTGGTTGAAAAAAATGGTTTGGTAATTTTTGATAAGCAAGTAAAATTAACTTTTTTTTTTTATTTACAGCTTTTTAAAAACCAAATCAGAAACCAATCAAGTTTTTATTTATAATTTTCAAAAAAATTATTTATTAAAATAGAAAATTGTAAATATAAACGTTACTAGAAATGCTTTAAAGAATTGGTGTGATGGTGTGGATGAAACATCATTTTATATATATAATGATATGATAATGGAATTGAACTCTATATGATTAAGTGTGACAAATAAGAAATTGACAATTTTCCTACATTGTGAGTCAAATTATTTTATTTTATTTTATTATTTTTTTTAAGGATTTCAAATATTTTTCACAAGTGAAATAACATTTTGTTCAACTTGAGTTCTATTTTTTTTTTTAAATGTATTTTATGAAAAACAACAAATTGTTTGACAAGCTATTTTTGGAAATTGATTTCATGAAATTTTTATGAAAATAATCCACTTGTTAGAAAAACACACACACACACAAACAAAAATAAAAAATAAAAAATTCAAACTATCAAAAAATGTTTTGGAATAAAATAAAAAGGGGGTATTTTCAACATTTTCAGTTTTTTTTTTTTTTTTTTTTTTTTTTTTTGCCATTGTAAACGTTACATATAAAACCCAACAAAAGGATAGATCAAGCAACTAGTACTAACTAATTAAACTCAGTTTACAAACAGAACCCAACTGAATTCAGATCAAGGAACAACATTTCAAACCCCAAAATTAAACCCAGATCACCTTTGAAATCAGTAAAACCCAACAAAAGGATAGATCAAGCAACTAGTACTAACTAATTAAACTCAGTTTACAAACAGAACCCAACTGAATTCAGATCAAGGAACAACATTTCAAACCCCAAAATTAACCCCAGATCACCTTCGAAAGAGCCTTGACGATGGTATCAAGAATATGCCTCGACTGTCGATCATAATACTCCTCAACAGTGAGCTTCCAACCCGGGCTTTATTTGATCTTAGATTGGTTTTGGAAGTCTAAAGCTTAGTTATAATTTAATGGAGTTGATATTTTGGCACTGTTCGGCAACTTGGCTTTTTGGATAGCCAAAACGTAAAACAAAATCACTTAAAAAGCCAACAAAAAAAAGGGTCAAACATCTTAGTAATTCATGGTTTTTCATACAACCAAAAATAATTATTCCCAAACACATTAAATTTTTTTGACCTCATAAAAAAGCCAAAAAATCAAAAAATCTCACTAAAATGGCCAATTCCCATATGAGGCCTTTATAAACTTTCATTTGAAGCCTCTTTCAAGTTTGTATAATGCAACCCTAACCCTAGGTGGAATGCATATGGAATCATGGTGTGATGCCTAGATTTCTTTTTGTTTTTTCTTTTCCAGTTTACTATTCACAAGCTCTATTCAAAGCTCCTGAACAGCCCCTGTTTTGATCTTCTTTTCCCCATTTTTATCAACCTTAAACCTAGGTCATCCCTAAAGTAATTGAAACCCTAAAATTCTTACTGATTTTCAGCTTTAAAACACAATAAAACCCACAGAAATTCAGTATTAAAATCATTATAGTGTTGTCCGACATCAAGAAAATAAAGACAGTTCACACTACTGATGCTTCAAAAGAACATACTTACATCTTGGACAATTGAAATCCTTCATGCATGGAAGAATTCTCTTTCTGTTATGGAATCAGCCAAACAACAATTAACATAAATGTACACTAAGCAAGAAAGGAGCATAATTATGAAACTTTAGAAAATGAGGAAATAAAAAATAAATAAAGGAGCATCTTACAAGGGGTTCTCCTTCAGAGAGCTTTTAAACAAATTTATGTATAGATTCCTAATAAAATGAAAGATAAAGATAATTGTCAAAATTACACAAATTGCCACTTAACTGGAAGTATATAGCAGGATTAAAGTAGAAAAAAGTATTCTTACACGTTCTCCTGACAAGCAGGCTGATCAGGACCTTGCCATGTAAGGTTATTGTAGGAAAAATCACTGTGGGACCCATCAAATAACGGTTTTACATAAATGCTTTAAATCCCAAACTAAAACTCAGTTGATCAAGCAACTCAACTTCAGTTTATGCAATAATATAAATTGGGCATATAGCAACAATATATTTTATGCGAAATAAGGTGTTACTACTAGAATGATGACCATTCATAAATTACAGAGGAGAAAATGAGAAGTTACAAAGATAAAAGTAGTACTTTCTAATTCAAGGCATGAACCGGAGGGGTTCAATAAAATAAATACTAGTCAGGTTGTTCTTCCCATTGCTGCAGTAAGATAATTAGTTTTCGGAAGTGATGTGACAAAAACTATTAACATTAAAAATATTTATTTATGAAACATAGCAAAGCGAGGAAATTTCCCTGGTTAATGAAAAATGTGCTATTAAAGTATTGCAGCTGGTTAGCAATCAACTCAATAAGCACCAAAAAACAAAACTAGAGAATAATCCATAAGGAATCAGATAGAGAAGATTTAACCTTTCTTTTAATCACGAAGCCATTAAATATGTAGGAAAAAGAATCAAGACAAAGTTCTCAATATTCTTCTTTGTTGGTTGCTGATCAAAAAATAAAAATTCCCAATATTTTTCATAAGTTTTCCTCCTTGTTACAAAGAAAGCAAGTAGTGAATGCATTTCAAAGGTGATAGTCATCAGGACTGAATATCAAGTGATGACAATTTAAAGAAATCAATAATTTAAAAAAATGAAAATTTAGAGAAACCAATAAAATTACACTCCACGTGTTGCGTCCTAAGAAGTGACAGCAGGGCTAATATACAGTTTTGCTTCCAAGGAAGGAACTTTTTATGCGTAAAAGTATGATGGGCTATTGATTGTGAGGCACAACATAATGCAACCACTCATGTAACATGCACAGCTTAGTCAATAGTATTGAAAGGATTTGTGGAAATTATAAAGCCTGAGATCAGAAGCCGAGAAAAGCCTTGCCCAATAATGATTTACTATTGAAATGGTTTAATATGCAAAACAGAACCCTTTGAGCCACTTATACAAGATGAGTTAATTATGTGCAGGCCATAACTGCAGAGAGGAAGTCAGAAAGAACACTAAGTACTTACAGATTCAGGAAAAAAAAAAAAGGACTTCTAGATAGAGTGTACAGCTGATACAACTTTCTTTTGCGAACATCAATTGGGAGAATGCATTGTGAATGATGAATCTACTGGAAAAAATTTTCCTTCTAATACCAAATATAGTTAATTAATTTGGTTACTTCTATACTTCAACTACTAATTTTTCCCAACAAGACCATAAAGATTAAAATTTACAATAATTTCCGACTCAACTTGATGAACAACAACATGCATGCAAATACAAATTTCTGAAAATAAGCACTCAAGATAAAAACATACATACTAAGTCCATCCTTCAAGATTGAATCTGGTACATTTCCACTTAGCATGTTGCCACTCAAAAACCTATTCAAAGCAATGCCATATAGTTAATATACTATAAAATGGGGAATGATAACAACGAAATAATCCAATAGATTAGCAATTTCGGATCAAAAGAAATTAGTAACATAAAAATTGTTGGCACCTTAAGAGAAATTTAAATGTAAAAGAATATTTTTCCACAGAAACACTTCACCTTGTTGTTAACAACTTTTGAGAAATGCTATATATCACCGGTTTTTGTCACCCTTTTGTGTTATAGTCTACATGGATTCTCCTGATTAGTTTCCAAGTTTGAAGATAATTATTAAGAAATTAATTAATGCAAATGATATCTTGCTATATACTCTGTGTGTAATAAAAGAATGAAAAAAATAGGTGATATATAGCAGCCCACACAACTCTCAGATTCGTGGGGAAAAATTTCACTCAAGTACTATTTACAACAGAACCAAATACATCCTAAACTTTTGATTTCATACTTACACGAATCTCAAATTCTTCCCATTTATGTACTTTGGAATTTCTCTGACTCACCTGTTAAAGCTGACATCCCTGTCCAAATCACAATAACCGATGAGTTAAAAAGGAGGAGAAAAAGAGCCCATATCCCAAAGTTTTTGTAACAGTTAACTTTATTTGATAAAACCTTCGTTTATACGTGTTTAATAAAGAAATAGAAGAACTTTAAGGATGAAGGAGCAAATGTAGAAGAGTGACAAGAGGAGAAGTAATCGTTAACAGAAGCAAATGAAGGGAAGAAAGGAAAAGGAAAGACAAACCAATTGGCCAGCATATGCAGTAATTCTTCACAAGTACTGAAGAACAGAGAGAATTAAGGTGACATGTGATATTCTATGAAAATGCAAAAAGTGATCATAAACCTCTCCACCAAAAAATACAATATGAATTGGCCAACTAGTAAAGGGGAGGAAAGGCCAATCCTACAAATATTTTCAGCTGTAACAGATGCCATTGAAGGTAAATAAAGTGCTAGTGAAAAAAAATCATATAGCATAGACTAAGGATTCATCTGATGATCTATGTACCATAGATGCTTCAACCACATACAGGCAATTAGCATTAGGAGAAACCATCTGACATTAGTACAAGTGCAAAGGATAACACAATCAACAACGGTAGATCATACTAAAACAAATATGATGCAAAAATTATAACCATAGCTTTACAAAAATGACAAAGACCCGAAGCAAGGTCAATTGACAAGATCATAAAAGAAAAATACAAAAAAAGATATAACTCAATTCCCCTAAAGCTACTGAATAAAGAAATGACATGAGACATTGTAAACATCACTAGAGGTCCCACATTTTAGTAACAGATTTTTGGTGCCAGATTCTAAACATTCTAACCAGATTTTTGTAACATATAAAATTTCACCATTGTCCATTGCATATATATAAAACCAAAAGAAAAAACAAAACAAGAAGTTAAATGTTTTAAACCTGATCAGTCATGATCATCAAATGACCATATCTCAAAGTCTTCACACTGTCATACTGTTTTCCATGCTGAAGTCCAAGAATCTGCTTGATGCTCTGAATTTCAGTGTTCTCCATGATCTGTTTATGGCTTGCTTCCCTCACATTAAGCAATTTACCACTCAACGGTAACACACCATAATAATTAAAATTACTTGAACCTGTAGTACGTATAAGACCACATTTCAAATTTGCCCTTTACGTAGGTCAAAACCTGTAGTACTTACAAGGAAACTTGATAGAAGTAATGACATTATGATCACCTAACTTCAGAGTTATGAATGGAGCAAATATCAGTAACTACATATGCAGAAAATAAGCATCTCAAATGATTTTGTTTTAATTATTTTATTTTTTATGACTGGTAGATTGAACACCTATTTTCATACCCAATCTTTACAAAAGTGTATGAAAACCTGGTTTTTACTTAAACATCAAAATAAACATCAATTTTTACAATTTTACTTAAACCAGATCAATTTTTACAAAAGTGTCAATTTACTTAAACCACCAGATCTGAAGACCACAAAGAAAGCATTCTAACCTGAAGTGCTAAATCCATAGATGCATCAAACTGGAAGGCAAAATTAACATCCTTCCCTCAGACTCTTTTGATTGAAGTGTGCCAGAAGTTCATTCCTAGTTTCTGGAATGGGTACAGTCCACCACCCATTACTATCGAAGAGCACAAAGGAAATCACTTCCAAATCTCCCTCTCCATGCACACCACCCAAGGCACATTCCCAATTCATCACACTTTTCTTTCATTTTTTGTGTACAATATCCTTCGGTTTGTAAACTATATTCTCAAATCTCTGTACTTAAGTTCCTGATTTCCTCTAGTCTCCTGATGTTATTTCCCACCTACTCAAAATCTACTAGCTCTAATTGTGGCGTTAAGAGAATTTCCATAGCTCCCTGAGGCACCATAAAAAACGGCTCAAAATGCATGGCAAAAAAAGGAGTTCTATCATCACTTAGCAGAATCTATCCCAATTGCTCAAGGTTGGAAAATTTATAAAAATAGTAATCCAAATAAGTAATATATACAAGCCATTGCATTTACCACATATACAATGCAATAGATTTGGGGTCAGAACCTCTCATCATTATCAATAACACCAATTAATGACAAATACATGTCTTACCTGTGCTAAACCAGAGGTGGGGTGAATATGAACAGTCTGGGGATGCTTAACTGCCTTATAAAATCCACTCTTCTGTAGCCTCGCAGAATGAGGGAAATAGCCTGAAGATTAATATAGAAAAAGAAAATGAATGAATGAAACTTAACATGATGGAGATGACAACGATTCACGATGACTATGTAGTCCAACTTCTAGTCATCAGAAGCAAAGATTTGTTATATCTTCACCTGCTGTTATAGCCTTCTTTATTCCTTCTAGATCATTGGAGTTTGATGTCAGTTCAATTTCAACCGTCTCCAATAGCCCCTCCAATTGATCTCGTATGTCTCTTGCACGCTTCATACTCCGAACCTGAGAAGTGAAGCCCACAAACATATGTAAGTATCTAGCACACATATCTACAAAAACCAAAATCAAGGAAGATTTAAGAAGAGATAAGAACATGCAAGTCGATATGCTGTTCAACAATAAACTATAAACTATAGTGTTTATCAGGTGCATCAACAAAAAAAAATATCAGGTGCATCAACAATAAACTATAGTGTTTGTCACCCCCATACGATGTAAATTTGCAGTAAGCGACTTGAGTCTTGACTCCTTCATCTCATTTGCATAAATTATACCTAGTAACCATTGCATTAGATAACAGGGAGGAAAGAGACATGGGATTCATATAGATACTAGGGCAAGGAGAAAATAAATCATCAAGGACTTTGCCCAAAGACAATTTGTTGTTGGCAACTTTTTGAGTGCAAAAAAATGGTTATACATACATCAGCAGAATAAACATTATACACCAACTTATCTGACATCAGAATAAATGAAGATTTGTATTTAAACTAAATTTTAAGACAGTAAATGACAGCCATTTCGGTTGAAAATTCCTCCAAGTTGCTCATTAGACAGTGTCACACTTTATTGTGTAGGTGGAAATAGGGTAAGCCCGTATCTCCCCGCATTAACAAGCAAATGGACACAAACTCATGCATATATTCACTTGAGTATGCTCAACCCAACAAGTTGTGAGTAAGCCATAACAACAATATGAATTAATTGAAAGCATAAGTGCAATTGAAATAACAGAGTCAAGATGGAAATCACTACACACCACTGTTTTTCATAAGAGCAGCAACGTAGTTTGTTTTATCATGAGGAGCAGCCTTGCAATAAAGTATAAATTGCAATTAAGAGGGAGAATGCAGATAGAAAGAAGCAGTGAAGATAACACATGAGACGTGGACATGAATACCACATATAATCCTATTCCTTTGATTGCATAAATGTCCATGACTAGTGTGTGAGACTGAATACATCAATCAACTCTACCATGTCTCATACAAAGAAATGAACATGAAAAAGGCAAGATATTAGTGTCCCTAAAGTGAGCTTTCTTTACACTGTTTTGTCTCAGATTGTATCAAAGGTTAAATTATGCTACAAATTCATAATATAAGAATTGTGCAATGGAATCACAAGCTAACTACAGCAATTTTCAAGGCTGGACGTATGTAAGGATGCTTTTGTTACTTACCTTACCGTTAAAAAAACAACATTAACATGAAGAAGAGAAAGAGGAAAACAAAAGACAACATTTAAAGTATAATAAAACAAAAGAAAAGAAAGAAAGAGAAACTTAGCCATTAAACTTGCTCAAATAAAAATAAGAAACTAAAAACACAGGATAATGCAAAAAAATTTAGATAGATAGCAAGCAGATATTTTTGTGTGAAAGAGTTCAGTTACTTACGCCATATCAACAATCCTTTCCTTCTCTTGAGGAGCAAGGGCCATCACAGGCAAAAAAGAGCTTGCACTTTGCAACTGTAAGCAAACTTACTATGAGCACTAAGCAAACCACATAAAACCCAAAACAATATATATATATATATATATTTTTTTTTTTTTTCTTTTCTCTCATGCTGATACAACTTTCTTTTGCGAACATCAATTGGGAGAAGGAAGAACAAGAAAACATGCTAGCTAGTGATAATACCATGTAATAACCAGCCATATATTCAGGAGTGGCACCAATCGGAACTTGTGAATCATACACAACAAGTCCAACCTGCAAATTTGAAAGAAGGTTAATTAAAGCTAAACCAATACAAACAACACACAGATTGAAATAGAGAAAAGAGAGATTGAAATTGATCGAACCTTTAGACGAAATCGAACTGCTTGAAGCTCTGAGACGGCATAGAGATCAAGCACAGAGAGAGAGAGAGAGAGAGAGATAAGAGGCAGGAGAACCGTCGTAGGATTAGGGTTTGATAAGAAGAGAGATCAATCATGGAATAGAAGGAAGGGGTAGTGTATGTACCTGAAGGATGAGGTCGTCGTAGATATCGATGATCTTGTTGTAGGATTTGGAAGCCATTGTGTTGCTGTGGATCGCTCACGACGGTCAGATCTCGGCCTAGGACTCAAATCATATTCAGATCTCGCCTTTCTTCTCGGATTGGACGGAGGCACAGGCGGGGGAGGAGGAGGAGGATCATCGATGATGTAGATGTGGCGATCTGTGGCGATGGGGTGAGGTTTGGCGGTGGAGGAGAATTTGAACAAAATGTTGTGTGTAATTGTAAACAGAGAACAGGGGTGGGCGCGAGATTTCCCTCTAAAAAAATTTCGCCTTTAACGACTAAATTCATTTTTTGTCGCAAAATCTCAAATATATAACGACTAATTTTTTTAGTCGCCAAATCTCAATCAACGGTGACTAAAATATTAGTCGCTAAAAATATTAATTTGGCGACTACTTTTTTTTGGTTGCTAAAAATAAGTTTTTGGCTACCAAATTTTTAGTCGCCAAAAAATATGTGACCTTCCGCGACCAAATTTGTAGTTGGTCGGCAAATGCATACCACTTTCCGCGACCAACTCATTTTTTGGTCGCCAAAATATAACCTTTTGCGACCAATAATATTTGGTCACCAAAAATAATGATCATTCGCGACTAATTAAAATTTGGTCGCCAAATGTGATTTTTTTGCGACCAAAATTTTTTTGGTCGGCAAAAGTGGTCACAAAATGTGTAAATTCTTGTAGTGAGGGGCAAACCGGCAAAGCTGCTGCTTTGGGGCCCCCAGATTTGATCTAAAACATATAGGACTCCATGTAGGAAAAATTCTTATAATATTGAGCAAATTTTTATTTTTTTGGGGTTCAGACCTCAATTAAATGAAAGGGCTCAATTATTTTGATTGTTAACTTATTAAACTCACTTTAACTCTAAGCTTTTAACCCCAAACTCAAAAACAAACTGTTTTTATATATGGAGGATTCCGATTACTTTGATTTTAACTTATCACAACCCAACTACGTCTAGTGCTTAATGCCAAACAAAAGAACAACACTATTTTTATTACTGGAGAGTTCTAACTAATTGATTTTACTTTACCAAATTTCTTTCCAACTCAATTTAAAATTTTGATATTAATTAACTTCTTTGGTATTAATATTCTCTCTAGATGACTTTAAATTTTATATCATTTCAAGTTCTACTTCAATTGTTTGTTAACTTTACTTTAAAAATTGAAACCTCTAGATTTGAATTAACTGTTGCTTACTAAATTATGGAGTGGATTATTTGTTTAATCATACTTCCTAAAAAGTATAGATGAATTAATTGAATCTCAGCCAAGAGCTCTTGGTTCAATTTTATAACTAGAAATGCAAGAATAGTAATGTTTAAATGATACGGTGTTCAATTTTCTTTGATGTTATTACTCTAGATTTTTGTGCACTATTTTTTTCTTATGTAAATGGTTAAAATATAAAACAATAATACTGGTTTTTATCTATTTAAAATTTTCTAATAACTACTTTAAATTGATTTTATCTTTTAAGTGATGTGAAAAACTATAGAGCTCCAAATTAACAATTTGCTTTGGGTCTTTGAATATTCAGGCCAGCCCAGAGGGGTGGTATTGATAAAATATTTAGTTTGAAAAACGTTTGCAAGCTTTAAAGTAGAAAATATTTTTCTCCAAAATAAATTTATTTTCTACTGATCATAAAAAAATGTTTTTTTATTAACTTTTATTTTTGATTATATCACACATCAAAAAATACAAGAAGATATCTTTTAAAAATATTTCCACCCAAATGATCGGAGCTCTACGCTGTTGCTAGTGGTCATACGTGGATAACATAGAACAAAAAATTCTAACGCACATAAAGAGAACATATATCATTTGATTTTGAATAAATAAAAATAAAAACTACTTTTTAACCAAAAAAAAAAAAACTTGGTGAAAGCTTCTTTCTCAGTGACTTCAGTTGATATAGTGTCAAACCGAAGAAGGGGAAAAAAAATATTACAGTCAAACCTCTGCCTTCAATTTGATTTTTGAAATAAAAAAAATGAAAGCAAAAGTTGATAGAGATTATGACCAGAAGAAAACTCAATTTATAATGGACAATGAGCGTATTAAACATTAAAAGGAGGGAAGTACGAAGGGAGGGAAAAAGACAAAGAAAAAGAGAGAGAAGGAAAAGAAAAAGAGAGAGAAAAGGAAGGAAGAGAAAGAGAAGGCCACGGAATGGGTTCTCTAACAGGGTGTAATCTAATTACCCATTTTGTCTATTTTGTTAAATATTAAGTTTCGTTTGGCAATCTCTACAATTTATTTTTTAAATTTATATAAAAAATACTAAATATGTTTATGTTTATTTTGAATTAAAACAAGAACAAAAACGGAAATGCTCCAGTGTACAATGCACACCGTATGCAACTCTACTCAAAATTGCATAAGTTTTCACAATCTCACGAAAATACATAAATTCGCTTAAGTTCGTGAAAACTTACGTGATTATATGAATTTGTGTTCAACTTATGTATTTTTGTGAGATCACTTATGTAATTTCGTGAAAACTTACGTGATTATATGAATTTGTGTTCAACTTATTTTTATGAGATCACTTATGTAAATTCGTAAAAACTTACGTAATTTTGTATAGAGTTCCATATGGTGTGCATTGCATACTGAAGAATTTTTCAAACAAAAAATATATTTGGCATACAAGTTTTTAAAAAAATTATTTTGAAAACAAGTTTAAAAAGTTAGTTACCGACGGTTAGAGAGAGTGGTTGGATATGGTTAGCAGTGGTCAGAGGTGGTTGCTTGCCACATGATGACCCAAAGTAATAGTCGATGGTCAGATATGGTGGCTAGTCAACTGCCTAAGATAATTTTCAACAAGAGATGGTGATCAAAGGTGGTTATTACCGATGAAAGGTGGTTGGTAGTGGTGATAGGTGGATGGCGAAGGTAGTTAATGATAATAGTAGACAGTAGTGATAAGTAATGGGTGGTGGTTGAAAAAAATGGTTTGGTAATTTTTGATAAGCAAGTAAAATTAACTTTTTTTTTTATTTACAGCTTTTTAAAAACCAAATCAGAAACCAATCAAGTTTTTATTTATAATTTTCAAAAAAATTATTTATTAAAATAGAAAATTGTAAATATAAACGTTACTAGAAATGCTTTAAAGAATTGGTGTGATGGTGTGGATGAAACATCATTTTATATATATAATGATATGATAATGGAATTGAACTCTATATGATTAAGTGTGACAAATAAGAAATTGACAATTTTCCTACATTGTGAGTCAAATTATTTTATTTTATTTTATTATTTTTTTTAAGGATTTCAAATATTTTTCACAAGTGAAATAACATTTTGTTCAACTTGAGTTCTATTTTTTTTTTTAAATGTATTTTATGAAAAACAACAAATTGTTTGACAAGCTATTTTTGGAAATTGATTTCATGAAATTTTTATGAAAATAATCCACTTGTTAGAAAAACACACACACACACAAACAAAAATAAAAAATAAAAAATTCAAACTATCAAAAAATGTTTTGGAATAAAATAAAAAGGGGGTATTTTCAACATTTTCAGTTTTTTTTTTTTTTTTTTTTTTTTTTTTTTTTTTTTTTTTTTTTTGCGCAAATAAATTATGTTTTGTTACAATTAGGAAAAAGTTGGGAATTCATAAAACCAGCAATCAAACTAATTGTTAACCAATATAGGATTGAAAATTTTGAGTTGTTATTGAGCACACGATTTGGTGATTTATTATTTGTCATCAATTCCATTGGTAAAATTTTACAAATCAACAATATGCAAATTGATA